CCATTGTATTTTTAAAACTGTACAACATTCCCTCTTCAGAAAACGTTAACTTTGTAATAACATTGTTTAGGCCTGGCAGGATCTTCTTTTTTGTTACTGCCTTTCACTACCAGCCCTGTAAATCTGGATTCATCAGAGCAGAAACCAATGAAGACCTAGCATTTCAATGAGGACTCCCTCAAGAGTTAAAGGGGGGGCTGTCCCCCCCCCAAAGATGTTGTAGCTCCAAAAGCTGCAAATTCAGGGACTCGTCATCAGGAGAGAAGCCCAGGATCCATTTGCAAGCTGAAACTTTGGGGGAGGGGGAAAGGTGGTGTCTTGGGATGAATAATGTTTTATCACCTTCTAAGAGCAAAGCTGGTGCTACATCTGTTTTGACTCTCAGAGACATCAAAGGCAATAAAGAGATGTGCATGAGAACCCGGGGGTGGCACCCTTTCTAGCGGTGGCTCATGCCACTCCCGGTTTTGGCATGGATCAGGGCAGTCAGAAGAGTTTGTTTCAAGCTGGATGGTGGTGGAGGAGGATAGGAGGAGAATGGAATGGCTTCCTCAGCCTCCTGGTTGAATGACCCATTTGGCCATTCCCGGAAGACAAGTTTTGGAAGAGATGAATGCAGATGGAAGGAGATGGACGAGGAGGAGGAGGGACCTCATGTGGGACTATTGTAGGGTCAAGGAAGGATGGCGGGAGGTGGTTGAGTTGATGGCGGGAGGTGGATGGACAGAGATTGTCACTGGAGGTTCTCGCCCATCCCTACATCACAACATAACATCCAGAACAAGTAACAGTAGCACAAGAAGAAAAAGGAGTGAGGATGGGGGACAACCTACAAAGAATTCAAACACTAAGATCACATGCTCCAACATGCAATTAAAAAAATATATCCTGAATCCAAACCTTCCTTTGCTGGCACCGATTCTTTGCTCGCTTGAGAGGTCCTCTGCCATCCCACCTCACCCACCAGCTGAGGGTCTAGACTCTGGCAAACAGCTCCCTTCTCCCCTGCCACCCCATCTCTGATCCAGCCTGCAGATTTTCCAGTTGCACTCGCTGCCTTAATCCAAGTTCTGCTCTTGGGTGTTCCCTCCCTTTTAAAGGCCCAGCAATTTCCCTTCCCCCCTAGAACCAGGATTCGGGGATTGGGTTTCCGAAACTTCCTGGAGTCAATGGCCCTCTCCTCCCCGGACCAGGGGCATCGGAGTTCAGAGTA